AAAAAAATATACAGTATTCATATTCGGTCAATATATAATTAATATAATTATGATTAACTTACTTGTTAGATGTTTGTTTAGTTTATTCCTTGTCATATAACCATTTGGCGAAGTCAGGACTGCATTATTTATATCTACTTGAGAATGTTTAATGGATTTTTTTCTTTTATCTAAAAAATGTGCAAATACCTAATTAATTTCTATCAATCATCAAATATTTATGAAGTCAAGATATATAAAAACATAAAATTAAAACAGTTGTATTTATTTTAACAAAAGTAGGTAAGATTGTTAAGTAGTCCATAATATAATAAAATGAAAAGCTGTTTGTTAGTAAACGTATCAATCAAGAATGGCTTGAGCAATCTGTTTAATGTTTTTTAAATGTTAGTAATATTTTAAATGAGGTTTTTATGATAAGAAAAATTGGGAAAGTATTGAAAAGCCTTTTTGATATGGTACCTAATGATTGCATATTATTATAAGGTACCTAATTGTACTAAGCTAATATTTTTCTTCTTTATAAATAGCTGCCACAGGTTAGGTATACTTAATAATTTTATCTTATAATTTTTAAAATTGGTCAATAWATTTTTAAACCGCATAAGTTTATCCAAAATTAATAGACACAAAAACTACTGCATCATTTATAGTAACTTGCTTGGGTAGATAAAAGGGAGCCATATATTATGTTCATAAATTAATTTTTATAGCTTTTACTAAATTTTTTTACTAACATATTGATAAAAAAAATCTTTTGTATGGGCAATGCCAGGCGGTCAGCTACATTAWAGATAAATATTTAACAGATACAATTAGTTATTTAACAATAATCAATATTAAAAAATGCACATCATAAATCTGAAGAAATATCTAGCTTAATAATTACAAATTTATTTATATTCAATAAAAATTATTCATATTATAATTTGTAAGTAAGAACCAAATACATTTTTAAATTAATGCCATTTTAAATGGTTCATCACATAACAAATAAATGCATATGTAGTTGTTTTTCTAAATTTAAAAACAAAATACCTATAATGTATCATAATAAACAATGATTA